GTCCTCCCAAAATGTGTCCTTGCAGTCCCCCCAGGTCAGCGCGATCCTGACCTTCATGGTACATAACCACTTGCTCTGCCTTTCTCTGTAGTTTATTACCTGCCTACCTAGCAACCCAAAATAATGTGTCCATGTCCCCTGGTTTGGTGTTTGCATCCGTGGCTGGGTCTGGCTGAGTGCTGTGTGGTTGAGGACACCGGATTTTCATTCCCGACTGTAGTATTCTGTTGTATGAATGATACAATTTATTCTTCCTTTTTATTAGAGATGGACTTTGCACCCCGCCCAGGGTTATTAGGAGCAGTGCTGCCCTGAGCTTTGTCACGCACCACCCAGCGTTCAATGCTTCTCCAGGGGCACTGCTGGGGCACCAGCGGATGTAACACTGACCAAGGCATGTGGAAGGAAAAGATACCTGTGCACAGGCCTTTTTGTTTTTCGTTTCCAAAATTGTGGAACTTGCGCAAAGTTGCAAGACAAGGGCAATCAACATCCTCATACTCTATCAGATTCATCCATAGTTAACATTTTGCCAGAATATTTGCTTTCTCTTTCTGTCTTTCATACACATACTTTATTTTTTTTCTGAAGCATTGGAGAGTAAGTTACATAGGAATGACCCCTCACTCTTAAATATTTCAACATGTATCTCTGAAGAAAAATGACATCCCTTACTCAACCACAAAAAAGTTACCAAATTTAGGCCTGAGACTGTGGTGCAATGCTGTTCTCCAATATGCAGTCTACTTTCAAATGTCACTGACTGTCCCCATCAACTGGCACCACACATGGTGTTGTCAGGACTCTTATTTTGGGGGGTAGGTACTGGGGATTGAACCCAGGAGCTGTTTACCACTGAGCTACATCCCAGCCCTTTTTGCTTTTAATTTTGAAACAGGGGTCTCTCAAAGTTGATGAGGCTGGCTTTGAACTTGTGATCCTCCCACTTCAGCCTCCTGAGTTGCTGGGATTACAGGTGTGTGCCACTATCCCCAGCCACCTTGGTATTTTTGGAGAGTACAAGTCAGTTGTTTTGTAGAATGTTCCTCATTTTATTTTCCACCACTGCCCCCATTAAAAGTGTAAAATATGCCCATTATATAACATTTGGATAATATAGAAAAATAAATAAAAATTGCCAGAGCCCTTTCAATGCAAGAAGAGCCACAGAGGTATCCGTGATCACTCAGAAGGCTGGCTGTGCACAGCCTTTGTTGCACACCAACTCACCACACCCATGAGGAAGGTGACTTGTTATCTCCCACTTATAGTTGGTATCAGAGACTTTGAACAACTTGCTAAGCATCACACTCAGCTCAACTTGAACCTTGACAGTCTGTTCCAGGGTCCTGCATTTGGCCTTTATGCTGTTTCTCAGAAGTGCCTGCAAAGAGGGAGTGTGTGTGTGTGTGTGTGTGTGTGTGTGTGTGTGTGTTTAAAGATGGCTCACCTTCTACCCTATTGACTTTGGGGTGAATCACTTATGGGGGGCTGTGTGTGCATTGCAAGGTTAGCAACATCTCTGGTCTCTATCCATTGGATGTCAGTAGCCATCCACCAACTTGTGACTACCAAGAATGTCTTCAGATATTGCCAAATGTCCCCAGGGCTGCAAAATCAGTGGATTTCTCAACTCCCCATTGAGAACCAGTCTGTATGTTTGTGTGCCTGCATGTGCGTGTGCTCGTGCATACCTAGGCATGTCAAGCCAGGTCACACCATAGTCACTTTTGAAATCTTTTCCTGGTTATGCCATGGTCACTTTAGGTTTCTTCCATATTCTTCTCCAGTCCCATATATAATTAATGGGTTCCAGGAGTTGTCTATCCAGTAACTTGTGAACTTGTGGGTTGACAAGAGGACAGGGCTGTAGTCTTTTTTTTTTTTTTTTTTTTTTTGTACTTGGATGGAACACAGGGAACTCAGTGCTCTATCACTGAGCTACATCCCAGACCTTTTTATTTTGAGACAGGGTCTCAAAATAAAAGTTGTCCATACTGGTCTTGAACTTGGTATCCTCCCACTTCCGTCTCCTGAATGGTTGGGATTACAGTCATGCTCCACCGCGCCCAGCACACTATAGTCATTGTCTGTTGTCACACAGCAGATTGCTGCAAACCGCATGATTTAAAAGCCCCGTTATGGGCTGGAGGTGTAGCTCAGTGGTGGAGCACTTGCCTAGGGTTTGCAAGGCCCTGGATTTCATCCCCAGCACTTGCCACTTCTGTAGGTCAGAAGTCCAAGCACATGGTTCTCTGCTCAGTCTCAGACACCGAAATGCAGATGCCAGCCAGGTTGGGTTCTCAGCCTGCAAGCCTGGGCACAGTCTGTTTCCCAGCTCACTCCCATTTTTGGCAGAACCTGCTTTCTTGAGTTGTGGGGCTGAGGTGCCCCTCTCCTTGCTGGCTGGTTGTTGGGGACCTCACTTAGCTCTTAGAGGCTCCATATCCCTTGCCAGCCGACCTCCCTCTTCAAGCCAACACGAGCTTGCTCTCTCCTTTGCTTTGAATCTCTGACTTCCTTTTCTGCGATTGTCCAGCCAGAGAAAATTCTGCTTTTTAAGGAGCTCAGGTGAGGGTCCCTAGGACAACCTTCCTATGTGAAGGCAGCTGTTCCGCCTAACGCAACAGATCACAGTAGGAAATCCATGACATTCACAGTTCTGGGGCTCCACTGGGTATATACCCCAGGGACATATTGCAGTTCTGCCTGTGACCATGATTAAAGGACAGGAGAGGTGTTTCTGGGAGCAGTTGTGGTAACGAGGGGCAGGGGGCCAAACTGGATAAGCAGGAGATGGAGGCCTGACTCCAACTCTGAGAAGGGTCTCACTGTAGTCCTGCCTGCAGGGAGGCCCCAACATGTCCTTCTGCAAACAAGCATGGACCTTGGGTCACCATGGGCCTCGGCGAAGGACTCTGGCTTCTGGTCCCCTTTAAGATGACTCATCACCATTACCTGTATTTGAGGACAGGATGAAGAAGATACAGGTCAGAGGAAAGTCCTAGCTGAACAGGACAGTGGGAGACTGGCCATTGGCAGAGAAGGGGATCTGCATGGACCACTCATGGGCCACCCAAGAGACCTGCCCAGAGTCTTTGATTTGGAGGGATGAAGAAGAGAGGTGTTGGTTTAGAGCAGGGCCCTGGAGGCAGGCCGGGTTATGATGTCTGGCCCCTACTGCGGCGTGACAGTGAGTGGCTGAACTAGAAACCTGGGGAGTTGGGCTCATTGAAGATGGGCGAAGCTCTGATGCTGGGTGTGACACATGGTTAGGGACTCGCTAGCTCCCAGTGGGTGAGGCCCATGATGAGGGTCAGAGCAGCCCCAGCCACGGAGGCTCCAGGAAGGAGAGACCATGGTGAGAGAGATATAGCTAGGAGAGCAGGACAGGGGAGACCCCCAAAGTGCCTGGAGCGGACATGAAGAGGGCAGCAACATCTGTCCACCTCATTTGTGCTCTTAGGCCACTGAGGCTGGGGGCTATCAGGGTTACACCCTCCACTGTAGGGTAAAGGAGTCCCAGCAGAATACTCCTGTTACCAAATAATCACCACTTCCTGAGGAGACCTCATAGTCCAGTTGGCCACAGTGAAGGCTGGAGCCAAAATGGGGCCAGGACAGCCCTGGGTCTCTCCAGCCAGTCTAGGGTAAATGCTGTGCCCTGCTCTCGGCTCAGCTCCTGCCTCAGCAGTAGCTGCAAAGTAGGGCCAGAGATCCCAGAGATTGAGATGCATGTTTAGAAGCCTAGCAGCAGATGGCCTCTAGCCCAGCAGTTGAACTTTTTGTTTTTACCAAAAATGCACAGAGGTGTCTAGGTCTCAGCTCTGCAAAACCCTCCCTGTAGTCACACATGCATGCCCACCTGTCACCAGGCCTCCAGAGGAGCAAAGGGGCCAGAGGGGGCTGGTGAGCCTTGGGCAGAGTTCATTTCAGCCTGTGCCTGGGAGAGAGGTTCTGATGCTCTGGCTGCTTTTCCACCTGCCGGATCTGGCAGCTTCGAATGGTCAGAGTGTGAAAAGAGACGTGTTCAGATTCCAAAAGCCCAGCATCTCGCTCAGCCTGGGACACTACAAGCAAGTCACTGAATACCACAGGGCCTCAGGCTTTTTCTCACTGGGATTTGAAAGTAGATGAGATCCTGCTACTGTCATCTCTGAGCCCAGCCATGTCCGGACTGCCAGATGTCTGCAGAGGCCTCTGGAGCCCAGCAGCTCTCCCCAGAGCACAGGCCAAGGTCACACAGCTGCTGCAAGAAAGGGGCCTCATGGTGTGCAAAGGATGCCCTTGTGGCCAGCGCTAAAGATCCTGCCATGCAAAAGGACAGACCACTGCGGGTTTGGCAAACCTAACCTGTTTTACCTTGGTTTGGCAAAACTGGTCTGCAGGCCAAATCTCTTCATGATTGCAAGAGCAAATAATCTACACTTATATGCAAACTTTCTCAGTGGAAATAATGAACCACTTCTCATTTGAGGGAGAAACCTTAGTTTTGGGCTTTTCCCAGCCTAATTCTTCTGCCATATTTGGAGAGAAAAAAACCAACCCCCCCCCCCCCCCCCTTTTTTTAAAGCTGTCTTTAGGGACATGTAGACATTTCCTTAGACCAAGCTGCTAGGGGACAGAGCAGACTGCTTTGAGGGAGGGCAAGGCAGTAGGAGACCTTTTTCTGCTGGTGTAGGGCAGCCTCTGAACAGACCCAATAGTTGCAGGTGTGTGTTTGTGAACCAAAGAGGAAATTACTGAGCGGGGGTGGGTGGGTGGGCATGGTTTCTGAAATAAAAGGAAAATTTTTAAGAAATATTTTTAATTGTAGATGGACATAATAACTTTGTTTAGTTTTTTAATGTGGTGCTGGGGAATGAACCCAGTGCCACACGTGCTAGGCAAGTGCTCTACCACTGAGCCACAACCCCAGCCCAAAAGGAAATATTTGAACCCTCCCCAGTCTGCCCTGGTCCCAGGCAGACAAGCAGAAAGTCAAAGAGAGAAACCAAAAGTAAAATGGCTCATTCAAATTTCCTAAAACTTTCCCACTGAACAAAAGTGCCCTATTCAAAAAAGACAAAAGAAGTAATATCAGGGTATTTTCACAATTTGAGACATCACAAGATAAGGAAGCTGCCCAGGATCTGGGCACCAACTCAGGGAACTTGGGGTAACTGAGCCTCATGACAGAAGGAGGGAGATCCCTTCTTCCAGTCCTTTGAAATCCTTGGAGAAAGTTGAGTAGACACATAGAACAACAGGGTCTGGGTTTCATTTATAAATAACCCAGGAACATTTTGTTCTCAATTTTCTGGGGCTGGGTTTTCCCAGTTCACAGGGCCCTGGGGAGATGGGAGAACCATGGCAGGTCAATGTAAGTGAGCTAGAGACTGAGCTCCCCATAGCTATTCATGCCACTGAACAACCATGTCATTTAGGGTCCTCTGCCTCAGGCCTTCCCCTGGATCAGCCCAGAAATTACGTCTCCGGGGTGGACCCCTCATCACTGCTGTGTAGGAGGCAAATCCTTTGGTTTCCAAGGCTGACACAGGAAGTCTGGACTGGGCCTGCTGGAGGATCCTGGTCACAAGCTGGCACAGTCTCTGATGACATCCCCCTGAACCCAGGAGCATCAACATCCTCTTGAGAACACCTTCATATCCTGCAAAAAAAAGTCTTCTGGGTTCTCTATCTTACTGTGATAGATGGAAAGAATGCTAATAGAATTCCCCATGAAGGCAGTAAGTCAGGACAACGGGCAGGACAACAGGCAGGACTGGAATAACACATTCTCTCCGATGGGTTAGGAATGAGAGGGGAAAACAATAAATATTCCCTCAGAAAGTAGAGAGGCCCAAACTTCCCATCTTGTCCTCTTTGGATCCCACCTAATTGAGATCCCCCAATATATACACGGCCTGTTCTCAGATTTGACCTCCTGCCTGTTCTTTCTGCTTGCCAGTCGGCTTTCTTCCCTGATACAGGAGCCCAGTCCTCCAGATTTCCCCATCTCTCAGAAGTCAGGAGTCTTTCATGTTCCCAGGTTATGCATGCATTATTTAGACTGGGGATTGAACCCAGGGGTGTGTTGCCACTGAACTACATCCCCAACCCTTCTATCCCCATTTCCCCCTTGTTTTTTGACACATGGTCTAAATCGCCCAGACTGGCCTCACACTATGATCCTCTTGCTTCAAGAGTAACTGGGATTAGAGGTATGTACTACTGTGCCTGACTCATTTATTTTTAAAATATTTTTTAGTTGTAGGTGGTCACAATGCCTTTATTTTTGTGTATTTATTTTTATGTGGTGCTGAGTATTGAACCCAGTGTCTCACCTGTGCTAGGTGAGCACTCTTACCACTGAGCCACAACTCCACAACTACCACTGAGCCTCCACTCCAACTCATTTTATTTTCTATTTTATTTTTTGGTCCTGAGGATCAAACCTAGGGATGCTTAATTACAGAGCCACATCCCCATCTTTTTTTTTTTTTTGATAGGATCTGCTAAGTTGCTGAAGCTGGCTTTGAACTTACAATCCTCCTGCCTCTGCCTCCTAGTTACTGGGATTACAGCATGCACCATCATGCCCAGCCTGGCTCATTTTAAAGTTTATTTTATTACTATTAATATTTTTGTGGTACTAGAGGTTGAACCCAGGATCTCATAAGCAGGCAAGTGTTCTATCAGAGTTTACATTACGAGCCCTTTTATTTTTGTACTGGGGATTGAACCCAGGGGCTTAACCACTGAGCCACATCCCCCCCCCCCCCCCCTTTTTTTTTTTAAATTTAGAGACAGGGCCTCACTAAGTTACTTAGGCTGGCCTTGAACTCACCATTCTCCTGCCTCAGCCTCCAGAGCTGCTGAGATTATAGGTGAGCACTACCGAGCCCCCCACCCCTTTTTGAGACAGGGTCTTGGTAAATTGACCAAGCTAGTCTCCAATTTACCATCCTCCTACCTCAGCTTTCCAAATTGCTAGGATTACAGATGTTCCACCATCATCCCTGGCTTTTTTTTTTTTTTTTAATGGTCTGGGCTTCAAACCCAGAGCCTTCTGCATGCTAAGTGGGCACACTATCACTGAGCTACACCTCCAGCTCCATAACTTTGTTATTATTTTGGTGGCTGTTGACGGCCAGGCCAGTCTTCATCTTGTGGGCTCAAGAGATTCTTCCACCTCAGCCCTCCAGCAGCTGAACTACAGGCAACCACCAGTTCTCTGGCTTACTTTAGACTTCCAACAGCTCCCAGGTCCCCCTCCCACACTCAGGTGTCCTGATATTGGTTACATAACAATCACAGTCCCCAAAGCTCTGACATCACCCACTGAAGCTTCTTACCAGCCTGGACAGCCAAGAGGGTCCCGCTGTGGCCAGGGATGATGGCGGGGGCATGAACCCAATGGAACAGCCAGGAACCGGTAAGATGATGGGGCATAGGTCGGGGTTACTGGTGGTGTTCCTAACGTGAAAGCGGAAGTATTTGGGTTTTTAAATTCCCCCTAAGTTCCCACAAGATTTCATTGTTGCCCCACATAGGGAATTTCCGATTTCGCTTCCTCAAAACCCAAGTGGCCAGAGGGCTTCGACTTCCTCCTCGCCCCCTTCCGCCCTGCCAGTTGTAGCCTCTTTGGAGAGGCCTTGTCTTCTCCCGGCGGGTCACGTCGTTTATGTCCTCCACTGCTGCGCGCATCTCCCAATCCAGCCCCGCAGGCTTGAGGGGGAGGCCAGGCCTTTTTTGGTCGGTCGGACTTTCCCCAACGGACCCCTTCTCCATCCCGGATCACCCCCCGCCCCGGATTCTCTGCTCCCTCGGCTGCTACCATCGCTTTCCCATCTCTCCCTCCACAGGGCAGATGAAAGATGTGGGGAAGAGAGGGAGGTGTTGGGGAAGCGGACGAGATGCGGAGGCGCCAGGGATCCCGGGGTCCGCCAAGTCCTCTGGGGATACTGAGCCAGTGGGAGAACGGCTCGCGGGAGACAGAGCGAGTGGGACGCGAAGTCAGGCAACTGGGGTGCCTGGCTGCAACCCTCTGGCTGGGCGTGGGGGTGTCATCGGCGTTGAAAGGCTCGCGGCCCGGGACCACCTAGCTGCGGACGCGGGCTTTCCCAACCACAGCACTTCCGTAGTCCGCGCCGCGAAGGGCGGGGCGAAACAGGTGCAGTTGCCACGGCGCCCCGGCCCAGGGCTCGCGATATTTGAAATCAGCCAATGGAAGGCGGGGGAGGGGAGGACGTGGCACGCAGCTGGGGGCGGGGTCCGGAGAGATTCCTCCCTCTGCCTCTCCGTCCCCGCCGGCCCTCGGGCGGCGGGGCGCGCCGGATCGCTGCGCTCGACCCTATAAAGGACGCTCGGCGAGGCGCGCGCTCCACTCGGCAGAGGGCGCCTCAGTGAGCCGTGCCGTGCGCCTGCGCAGTGCGGGCCGCTCCCCGCCCCCTGTCCCCCGGCCGCCGCCCGCCTCTCTCCGCCGGCCGGCCGGCCCCTCCTCGGCGGTGCGCTTTCGCCCCGCTCTCAGCTGCCCGTCTACCCCGCAGCGGCCACCCCCGTTCCCCGCAGCATGTTCAGCTGGGTCAGCAAGGATGCCCGCCGCAAGAAGGAGCCGGAGCTCTTCCAGACAGTTGCGGAGGGGCTGCGGCAGCTGTACGCACAGAAGCTGCTGCCCCTGGAAGAGCACTACCGCTTCCACGAGTTCCACTCGCCCGCGCTGGAGGATGCTGACTTCGACAACAAGCCCATGGTGCTTCTCGTGGGCCAGTACAGCACGGGCAAGACCACCTTCATCCGGCACCTGATCGAGCAGGACTTCCCGGGGATGCGCATCGGGCCCGAGCCCACCACCGACTCTTTTATCGCGGTCATGCACGGCCCCACCGAGGGCGTGGTGCCCGGCAACGCGCTCGTCGTGGACCCACGGCGCCCCTTCCGCAAGCTCAACGCCTTCGGCAACGCCTTCCTCAACAGGTATCCTTCCCTTGCCCCGGGGGCTCGAGGGGCGACCTGGGCCTCTCACGGCCCTCGCCCTCGCTATCCTTTGTCTCTGAGGCCCCGACCAGACCCTGAACGACCACTCCCAGGGACAGGAGTCCTACCGAGTCCCACGGAAAAACCCATCCAATCACATCTGGAGGTCTGGGAGTGGGCATTTCGGACTACTACGGCTTCTGTCCCCCCCAGAATCTTCCAGATTATCAGTTTAACTCCCAAACCCTCCTGCCCAACTTCGAGCAATGCCGGGGTTCGGGTTAGAAAGATGAGTTATTGCTGCCCTCTCTTTCTTGATTTCCACCTTCTTCCCCAGACCGGACGCATCCAAGTTATTCAAATCAATCTCTCCCTGCTCTGAGATTTTTTTTTTTTTTAAATCATGTGTGTGTGTGTGTGTGTGTGTGTGTGTATCTGTGTCCCCCTGGGCTGCTGTGCTGGGATGCTTTACCATCGAGCTACATCCTAGTCCTTTTTGACACAGGATCTCTCTAAGTTGCTGAGGGTCTCACTGAGTTCTGAGGCTGGCCTCAAACTTGAAATCCTCCTGCCTTATCCTCCTGAGTTGCTGGAATTACAGGCCTGAGCCACCATGCTAGGCTGAGATGTTTCTTAAGTGTCCTAGAAAAACCCAATAAGGCTTTTGGCCATTTCATTTGCTGGTGTGGTGTGTCTCTGCTCTGCCTCCCCTGGGACCATTGGCTTTGTGTAGGAGGGACAAGAAGGATCCTCTGTGGCCTTCTGACTTTGTGGCAGCCCTTTGAAGGAAGGGGACAGATGGACTCTGAATACTTCTCCCAAAGGTATCTCTTAATGGGTCATTGCTGCCTTGAGAGGCTTCAGGAGGTGGTGATGCTAGGAACCCTGAAATGAGATTTGGGCCTAAGTCCCACTTTAGATGTGCTAGGAGGTTCCTTAGCCTACTTGGACTAACTCAGTTTCCCCGGTTAAATGGGTGAGACCTGCCCCCTTATTAAAAGAATGATCCTGTCACGCTTTTCTCTAAAGGAATTCAAGGCATCCCCAGGCCCCAGGGGAACAAGCCTCCAGACTTCACAGACCCTTCCCTTCTCTCTTTCAAAGAGACTCCAAGCCTTTGAATATCTGAAGTCTGTGTCAGGGGGAGAGCCTAGGAAAGAATCTCAATCCTGCCTTCCAGGTCTCCGCCCTGTGTGATTACATTCCTGCCCAGATGCTATGGCCACACAGGGCAGGCTGGCTTGCTCCAGAGCCCAGGCCCTGACCAGGCCCGCCTCCCTGCCTGAGCTGACCTTTGGTGTCTTTTTGCTTCTTTCAGGCATTTAATCCTGTGCTCCCATTCTGTGCTCATGGTGTTGGCAGGGCCAGGTTGAGTGAAGCCCTTTGGGCTCAGGCTCTTGAAGGGCTGGTCCCCTTAGCCTGGCCCCTTTTTCAAGGATGCTTGCTTGCATTTTATCATGCCTGTAGATAGGCACTTGGCTCAGACCTTAGCTGGTGGGAGCCATTTGTTCTTGTGGAAAGTTTGGCTGCTATACTGGAAAGTTATCTACTCATTAGATTTCTGCTTCCAGGCAGAACTTTTGGGAATGACAGGGTGGGTCATTGTCCTCAAGTCTTCACTTGATTCAATCATGAGGGGAGAGCTTTTTTAAAAGGAGAAACCCAGCATGTTATCTGTTTTCTGCCTTCAGAAACCTAGAGTTTTCAGAGCTGGAAGGATCCTGAATGCCACCCAGCAGCCCCTGCCTCACTAATTTAGGAGACTGAGGCTCAGACCGCCCAGCTGATTTCTCAAGTTCACTCATTAAGACAAGCCTGTGGTCACTAATGCTTCTGCCTGAAAAAGGAACAGCTTAGGAGTTTTGGTCAGATAGGCATTTTGATGGTGTGGGTGCCACTAGACCCAAGATCCACACTTAATGCTGCTTTGTCACCGCCTCATCTCCAGAGGGTCCCTGAGTGCCGGGGGTCTACCAAGGGGGCCTTATCAATTACAGCCAAGGCCCAAGCTGTGTCAGGATGTGTGGTATACAGGGTGCCGGCCGCCAGGGAGGGTGCAACAAAAGGGGCTTTTCTGTGGCTGTTACAGCCTCTCCCAGCACTCTTAAAGGGACCCATTGAGTCATGAACTTGACTTTCCGGCCTTTTCCTTCTGAGTGTCTGCTCTAAGAATACAATCAGATGGAGATGGAGCAGACCTGAGACAGGGTACAATCAGGGAGACCTCAGAGTGACTGGTTAAAACCTGTTGCATAACCAGGCCGCCCACTTGTACAGGGAGACCAGTCTGTCTCCTTGTTAGGACCTAGCATCTTTCCTGCCATCTGCCTTTCTTGTTCTCCACCATGCTCCCGGTCGCAGCAGAGCAGCTTCTTCCTGAGTCCTACAAATGTGCCTTCACTCACCAGGCCCCTGTAGGGGCTTTTCTGTGTATGTTACGTGGTGCTTCTCAAAGGCAGAACTCCTTTCACACCTTTTCTTCTCTCAGCCTTTTCAGAGAGCCCCTTCCTGAGCAGAAACCCAGGATGGGCATACAGAAGGGCACTCGTGCTCCATGCTGGCCTTGGAGGGGTGAAGTCTGAGGTTTTCTCACCTTGGGGGTCAGTTGGTTTTGCTTGGTTGCTCTTGGTTGCTCTCACAGATGGCACCTCTTGCTGGCCTGTGGACCACCAGTTACTTGGGTGATGGGGCCACAAGGAGGAGCTAATCAGTCCTGAATCCTCCTCACTGTTGAAAGGGCAGCTCTGTGCCTGTGTCCTGCTGGACAATAGGATTTCCTTTGCTCACAGTACTTTCTTAGAGAGGTTTGGTTTGTTTATGGTGCTAAGGATTGAATCCAAGGGTGCTGTACACTGAGCTACATCCCCAGCCCTTTTTATTTTGAGACGGGGTCTTGCTGCATTGCCCATGCTGGCCTCAAAATCATGGTCCTTCCTGCCTCAGCCTCGGCAGGAACTATGGGCGTGCGCTGCTGTGTTTGGGTGTTCAGAGAGGTTTTTTTTTTTGGTGCTGGGGATTGAACCCAGGACCTTGTGCATGTGAGGCAAGCACTCTACCAACTGAGCTATATCCCTAGTCCCTTTAGAAAGTTCTTAAAGGATTCTTTTCTGTAAAGAATCCTGCTGTCAGTTGAGATCACCTTTGTTCTTCTGGGTAGTTCTAAGCCCAGTGTGGAAATTGGGCAGCATAGCTAATCCCTCCCCCAAGGAGTCTCCAGCCTGTGGTGACTGTGCCCACTTTGACTTCAGAGCATGATGTGTCTGCTGACCTCCCCACTGTCAGCCAGCCTGTGTGCTCCCCCAGTCTTTACTGGCAGCCCACTGCCGCTCCTTCATCCAGGCAGCTGGGTGAAAGGGGAGCGCTGGCCCAGCAGCAATGGGAAGAGACCATCCCTCTTCACTCTGTGGGACTCCAGCCAAATAGTTGAACATTGTAATATGGAATGGCAAGGTCTCCGTGTCAAGCGTCTGTTTCCTTCTGAACTGAGTGGTGACCTAGGCTCTCGGCTGTCATTAACAAGTCAGCAACTGGGAAGTAGGACTCTGGAACTCGGGGCTGTGGCCAGGGAGCAGCTGTGACAGAAACACTGCTGTGGGTCATTTGGAGCCTACTGTTACATTTCCAGTTGAGAAAGTATGTCCACTTGGTGGGGGCAGGGAGCATGGCTCCAGGGTAGAGTCCGTGCTTAGCCTGTGCAAGGCCTTGGCCATGTTCCAGCCCCAACACCAAAAAAAAAAGTTTTTCCAGTTTGCTGGCCACCTCTGGAAAATAAGATGATAGGACACCTCCTTACGTTCCTTGCTTCTGGGAAGGAAGCCAGCGTGGAGACAGCGGAGGCCAGAACGCCCTCCTTGTGGCATCTGGAGCATCAACAGCCTTGCCTTGACAGCGCTCTCTGGCCTTGCTCTTCTGCAGGTTCATGTGTGCCCAGCTGCCCAACCCGGTCCTGGACAGCATCAGCATCATTGACACTCCCGGGATCCTCTCTGGAGAGAAGCAACGCATCAGCAGAGGTAAACAGATCCAGGCTGCAGCCAGGTGCCAGTGTCCTCGACCACCTCAGCTGATATCTGTTGCCCAGTTGCCGGGATTCCTTCAGGTGTCTTCCACCCCAGCGTTTTCCTTTTATTTCTATCAGGGATTGAACCCAGGGGCATTTAAGCACTGATCCACATCCCCAGCCCTATTTATTTTTTTATTTTGAGACAGGGTCTCACTAAGTTGCTTAGGGTCTCGCTAAATTGCTGAGGTTGGCTTTGAACTCTTGCCTCAGCCTCCCAAGTCACTGGGATTATAGGTAGGTGCCTGGCAGGGTTTTTAAAAACATTTAAAGGAGGGCTAGAGATATAGCTCAGTTGGTAGAGTGCTTGCCTCGCATGCACAAGGCCCTGGGTTCAATCCCCAGCACCACACACACACACACACACAGACACACACAAATTTGTCTAAAGGATACGTGCTTCACATTAGCCTCTTATCTTCAGGCTGCCGCTTTCTTCCCTGCCTCCCTGTACTCAAGTGACAGGAGCAGCCAAGGTGAGGCCCCTGCCCATTCCCTGTGACTGGCTGCTTTTGAATCCTTGGAGCATGCTGGAGACAGGGCAGTTGGGGCCTCAGGCCATGCAGTGGGGTAGCAGGGATAACTGGCTGGGTTATTTGCCCCTGTGCTCAGGTGGCCCAGCTGGCAGTGCTGACTGGCCTCCCGGGGCTTACTTGCTTCCATCAGCATTTCAAAGTTTTGCCTCCTAGAGCCATCTGAGTTCTAGTAAGCCCAGCAGGACTGTGAGCCTGCCAGATGAAAGAGAAACTAGCAGAACTAGTGAACTTCTTAGGGCTCATAAAAATTTGCTTAAATTTGCTTAGCGTGTGTAGTCAGCAACCGCCCTGAGGTGCGGGGGCAGGGGCAAGGGCAAGGGGCGGGGGTGTAGGGGGGTGAGGGGGTAGGTTTCATGCCCAGGGTTAGATCCAGTTGTGTCAACTCTTGTCTGAGTTTTGCCATGCTCATTTGAAGACCTGGTTCGGGATGCATCTGGCCTGGGTCACATTGCTCACTGTCGCCCGCCCCTAAAGGTGGGCACCCACTATAGGGCCTGAGTGAGTGCCTTCTGGAAGGACCATGAGGGCGGGCTGAGGTTGGAGGGGAAATCTGCAGCTGCAGAGGGGAAAATGAAATGAGGAAGGGTTGAGGACCAGTGACCGGTTTATCATTAACTTGCACAGCTCCCCTGTGCCCTCCGGGCTGCCCCACAGTGGGGAGCCTGCAGGTGAAGCCAGCCACCTGGACTTCGGGGTGCTTGGATCTGCTGTGGCTTTGAGGGGTGAAGCTCTGTCCTCTGTCCTCGCAGGCCCCAGCCAGTGTGACGTTGCATCAGACACATTAAGACTGTGTCCGTTTTTTTCTTTAATTGAAGGTTGAGCCCAGGGAAGCTTTACCACTAAGCTACACCCTCAGCCCTTTTAATTTTTTGAGGCAGGGTCTTGCTAAGTTGCTGAGACTAGATTGGCCTCGGACGTGCAAGAAACATCTCTCTAATCGGGTTTGAAAGCTGCCCATTTTGCTTTTAGGTTGTAACCCTGGTGGGAGTGATGCTTCTAGGGGTTAAGGGGAGCAGATTTGGGGACCCCTCTAAAGTAGCCAGGGCCCATTTTCTTCCTTCTTATTGGTATTATTGTTCCAGCTTGATTTTAAGAAAATGCCTAATGAGCCAACGCCCTGTAACTGGCCAGAGCAAGGCAAGTTTGAATAAGTTACTCTTTAAGAGCAGGAACTGCAGCAGGAGTCCATTCACAACATGCCTCGGGGCTGAGGTGTCCTGGCCTTTGAGGCCTCAGGAGTAGGCTGAGGGCCTTACTGTGTGGCACTGTGCACACAGTGTAGGACAGGGACAGCCACTCACCAAAAGAGGCTTATCCCTCTAGAATGCCATTGTTGGTGTGGCTTTAGGGCCCGATGTGGGTCTCTCCTGGCTCCTGTTACCTAATAAAAGGATTCAGTAGCTTCTGTTTCCCTGGTGCCATGACATTTGCCTGCTCTGTGGTCTGTGACACTTCAGCCTGTGCCCTCGGGGTTAGGCTGAGCAGCTTGGACTTGAATCCCCGGTTCTGTCCCCTGGGATGCACCCCTTCCCTGCTCCTTTCCTGTGACGAGAGAGACGTGGTCTGGACTTGTTCTCTCTAGGACATGCAAGGCAAATGCTGTACCACTGAGCTACGTCCCAGCTCATGGTTTTTATTTTGCTCTTTTCTTTTTTCCCTGCGATACTGGAGATGGCGCCCGGGGTCTCTTGATTGCCAGCAGTCTCTCTACCATTGAGGTGCATCCCCAGCCCTTTTAGAGTTTCAATTTGAGAGAGGGTCTAAGTTGACCAGACTGGTCCTGAACTTCTGTCTTCCCGCCTCAGCCTCTCCAGTAGCTGGGATTAAGGCACGTACCCCCTGCAGCCTTCTTGGCAATGTTTTTATTTTTTATTGAATTTCCGTAGCTAATTGGTCACTTGACAAACTTTTATTTATTTATTTTTTTTGGATGTGTTTGTGTGGTGCTGGGCATTGAATCTGGGGCTTTATGTATGCAAGGAAGCACTCTCCAACTGAGCTATATCTCCAGCCCGGCAATGTGTTTTGATGGGGTTAGAAGGACATTAGGGGCCAGGCAGTTCTGGCCCTCAAGTAGCCTGTGCAGGCAACACATGGAGGAGACAGATGCCTGCCTTGTGGGGCCTCCTGTGTCTGCTAGGTGAAACATGAAGCGCCTCTGGGTTTCTGTAGCCAGAGCCCCCTTATCTACAGAAGGTACCCTTACTGCACCCTGGGAAGAAGAAGGGTGCTGAAAGATTAGGGTATCACTCTGTTTTTTGTTGGTGCTGGGGATTGAACCCAGGGCCTTGAGCATGCAAGGCAAGCACTCTACCAACTGAGCTACATCCCCAGCCCCAGTGCATCCCTCGGATTGGAGGACGGCTGTCACTGTGAAATAGTGAGATTCAATCCATTTTCTAGACCATTCCTTTCTCTCCATAACTCCAGAGATCCTGACTTAAATGTGACTTACTGTACGTTACCCAGTTAGGATTTGAGGCTGGGTGTTTTATCATTGAAAGAAGGACTATTACTTGACACCTCTGGAGTTGCTGGATGTGGACTCCAGGTGGTCACCCCAGGAGATCACAGGAGGGGCGGACTTCCTGGAGACCTTGCCGCTGGTCTCATGAAGGCCTCCTGTGGCCCAGTGCGGCAGAGGAAGTCAGGGCAGGGCAGCACCTTCTGGGCTCCCTTTGCTGGCAGCATAGAAAACAGGTGTTTCCCTCCCAGAAAGAGAGGCCCAAGGCGAAGGCGGGGCTGGACAGTGGCACACTGCTGCAGTCTGTCGTCTGTTCCCTGGAAAACAGAACGTCCTGTGGGTTGCTCACACAGTCGCATTGCTGAGCCCACGTGCTCCCACTCCCACCCTGTCCGCCAGCCCCTCCTGATTCTTTCCCTTTCCCCACGGCCCCTAATATGTGCAGGAAATATCGTCTGCAGAGATAAGATGGGGCCTGTGTAGCCCCAGAGCAGTCGGGACACCGCCCAGGCTCTGCTGGGGACCCCTGAGAGTTGGCTCAGGGAAGAAAAGGGGCCCCTTTTGGGGTCTCAAGCTGCTCTTGCCTGTTCAGCTAATCTTCTGAGTGACTTTAAAGATAACATTGTCCTCTGTCAGCGGAGAAAGGTGGCCTGTGAGGACAGCGTTCATTCCTGAGTATAGCCCATGTGACTGATAAAGGGCAGCTGGGCCAAGCAGGGCAGGTGCCCTTGGCTCCCAGAGCCATGACCAACCACCTGCATAGTCAGCGCCTGGGAGCAGGGTCTTCCATGCAGTCCTCTGGGCAGCAGCAGGTGGCGCCGTTAGGGGCCTGGCTAGTGCGCCCCCCACCTCCCCTATTGTCACTCTGTAGCTGTGACTGAGCTGTAACTGTTGTGCCTCAGTTTCTCCCAGGAAAGCTGTGTTGGCAGGGGCAGTGTGACTTCAGCCTGGCTGGCTCGGTGCCTGGTTTCCTGCTGCTACTGCCCAGCAAAGCGTCCCATCTAGTCACCACAGCAGCTGCGCCTGCGAGGAAGCTGCTGCCGTGCAGATGAGGAAACAGGCTGAGGGACATCAGTAAGGAGCCCCAGATGACACCAGGCAAGCAGGGGTCGGCCCCAGGATTCAAACCTGGCCAGGTTGTGCTTATGCTGCAATGTAACTGAGAGTTGGATCAGATGGACCTTTGACCCTTTTGGGTCTTTATAGTACAGGGTTCTAAGCTCCCTAAAACACAGAGGCTGCCTTCTGCCTTCCCCCAGTCAAGGTCGGGCTCAGTCTGGAAGGGACCCGAGGTCTGAGGTTTGAATAGCATCTTCTCCCTGTTCCCTGCCTCCAGCCAGAAGCTGCCCCCAGGCCATCCATGGAGGTCCCCCGGGTTCTCACTTGCCCTCCTGCGGACTGTCCCTGGTTTGCATGCTTCGCCACGCCGTCCTGATCCTCATAGTTGGGTAGGGCTTCCCAGGATCAGACTCCAGCTCTGCAGCCCAGAACCCTGTGACCTGATCATACCCTCTAGGCCAGTTTCCCTAGAGTGTTCTGCAACCACAGGCTGCTCCAGGGGTTGCCCCAAGCCTGGGGCAAGGCTGAGTGCTGTGTTCCTCTTGGAAATACAGCACAGATGATACCAGAAGCTTCAATCCAGGTCAGCACTGGCCCCAAGGAGTCACTGGAACTCCTGGGGGCCACATCATGGTGACAGGTACAGCAGTCCTTTCACTGTATTATAGCCCTCTTAGGGTTGTTGAGGATGGTGTAGAAGTGGACATGCAGGAGGCGCCCGCCCTGGTGCCTGGCCCACAGTTAAGCGTTCGTCAAGTGTCCCCTAATAGTAAAGAGACCAGAAGCTCCAGGGTTTCCCAGACTTTGCTGCTTTTCTGAGTCATGTCCTGAGGAGCATTCTCGGGGCGGCACTGACTCAGCTGGGGTTCCCCTTTGGATTCCAGAACATCCTCT